GAGATTTAATCCACTGAATTTGGCTAAAATCGTATGTTTCGCTAAGTGGGTTAAAGGGGCTAAGTGTGTTTCCTCAGATTTTCTAAACGAAAAGGTGTTGCTGATTCTGACCTGCATTATTTTAAAGATAAAGGCTCAATGAAAATAACTAGTAAATTGGAAGCTTTGGGTCGCACTCTTTTATCCGAAGCAATCGGTTGAATTTTGACAAAATTTGCATATTTCACAAGCATCTCAGGTCCTCATGTGGCGCCGAAACAAAATTCGTTAAAAAAAATTTATAGAAGCGAATTTCTCCAATCTGGTTTCATATTTGTTATATACTTATTAAAAGAAGTCTACAGAAAAATAATGAGCGAAATCCATTTTGTGGGCAAAACTCGATATGAGGATCTTACAGAGACTGGCTCTTAAATACAATTACGTGGGATGTCTTCTGCTTTTAATGTTTAGTATTGATTTGCTCTTTACAATCAAAAGGGACGCGTATATCTTCAAGGAAACAGGATGATTTTGTAGGTTTCCGAAGCATCAGAAGCTCACCAAGTGGGCGATGGTTGGAGAAAAGCGGCAAACTTGTTGGCCCAAACTTCACATTGAAACCGAGTTCGAAAGCCAGCTCACTGCAATTCGGTAAAACAGAAATATAAACAATGCATATCTTTGTGGCAAGAAAAAAAGAAATAAGCGACGGATATATGGCCTACTTGTTAACGCAAGAGACATATACCATTGAACAAAACAGTTCAAATCGAGATGGAAGAAAGGAAAACAGGAAAGAAGCGGTGACTGAGGTTTCGATGAAGTTACGTTTGGTGTTTATTTGCCAGGACGTTATTCTCTGGTCTTTATTGATGAAGGACATCAACTAGCACTATCTTTTTGGTATAAATGCAGGAGCGATCGAGTGGAGTACGCTCAAAATTTCAACTTGTTACTCGGCAGACTCGGTAAGCCGGCCACATTTCATTTCAGCGAGTAATTTTCCTATTTCTTATCTTTGGCTGTTAAGAGTTTTAACTTCATGTTCCATAATATTCTAAAAGTGAAGAATACATAAATAAATAAAATGATGGTCTTCTTAAACGGATCCAGACTCGCATTTAATGATTCGAAACAGAAGCTTGCCGTGTTCAGTCCTGGCACAAACATTGCCTTAAAAGTTTAACCTAGTAAAATGTGAGCTTTATACCACTTTTTTACCAAAGAGCTCACCGAGATAATGCCGTAAAGGAGCCCAGGCAAATAGCAAGCCATAAGATTCACACACTAGAGCTTCTAGTATTGATGAAATTATTTTATTTCGCAATGACAAAGAAATCAAAAGATTTTAAATTTGCACTGAATTTGCTAAGCTCTGCCAACGTACCTCTAACAATTCAATCCAAAGCGACGGAATTAATATCATCCAAAGGAAGTTGTAAATACAGACATACATTGATATGTGTAAAATGACACTGACATGAATGAATGAGTCTCGTGAATGAATCTTTCACCCGCTCTCGACTTGACCTGTTTTGAGTAATGGCGGAGGTCTCTTCTGTTGACAAGTAGGCCATATATCCGTCGCTTATTTTTTTTTTTCTTGCCATCAATATCTGTTTTTACTTCTGTTTTACAGAATTGAAGTGAGCTGGCTTTCGTGTTCGGTTTCAGCGTGAAGTTTGGGCCAACATGTTTGCCGCTTTTCTCCAGCCATCACCCACTTGTCGAGCTTCTGAGGCTTCGGCAACTTACAAATTCATCCTGTTTCCTTGAAGATATACGCGTCCCTTTTGACTGCAAACAGCAAATCAGTACTAAACATTAAAAGCAGAAGACATCCCACGTAATTGTATATAAAAAGAAGTCCATACAAAGTTATTTTAGGTGGAATCCGTGCTAAACACTATGCAAGTTCACTGAAAGTGTTCATTTGCAATTTTTGTTTTCCCTCCAACGCCTCGCTTTCATGACTAGGCACCAGTTTTTTCCCGCGTGTCCGCC